GTCTTGCCACACTGCTGGCCAACCAGGTGTCCACCGGGGTTCACAGGAGTCTGTTGAACATTGTAGGGCTTAGCTCGCAGCTTCATTGCTATTTTTCCCTCACTTCTTATCGGTGACGAACATGGTCACCAATCAGAGCACATGCTCAGACTTCTTTTTGTTCTGCAAACTCAAAGAACATTGTAAAGAAATATGACTTGAATTTCCGGAAGATGCCCAAACTGTTATTTTGACATGATGCAAATTGAAGAGTGCAGATTTCAAGGAAGGGTTGTTGTTAAGTACCATGGAGTCAGCTCTGACTCATAGTGACCCTGCACAGGGTTTCTGAGGCTGTAAATCTTTATAGGAGCAGAAAGCTTCATCTTTCTCCTGCAGAATGGCTTGTAGTTGACCTTGAGGTTAGCAGCCCAATTCGTAACCACTATACTACCAGAGCTCTTTAAAAGAAGGGTGGTTGTTGTTGTTGCTATATGCCATGGAATCGGTTCTGACTCAGAGACCCTGTACAGGGTTTCCGAGGCTGTACATCTTTACAGGAGCAGAAAGCCTCATCTTTCTCCAGCGAACAGCTGGTAGTTTCAAACTGCTGATCTTATGGTTTGCAGCCTGATTCGTAATCACCATGCTACCAGAGCTCCTTTAAGGAAAGGTTAGAGAGATGGAAACATTGCCTTCAGAAGTACAGACTTAAATAGAGGGTATGTTAAGAAACAATACCTTCACACACACATTTTGTTACTTTTTGGTTTAAAAAGTTCCTGATTTTGCAGCAGTATTTTTTTACTTACCCTCCTACAGTTCAGTGAGACTGATTACATTGAGTTGTGCAACCATTCTCAGCCTCTTCTGAGCTGTGCCCTTTATTAACATAAATGCACTGTCTGAATTGTTACCAACTTGATTCTATACAAATCATTCATAAAAGAGCATAATGCTCAAGACAGACATTATTAGTTAAGCTAAACTATTGTCTAATTTTAAGACTTCAGGAGATATTTTTGATTTAAAGTTTAAAGATTATCTCTGGACGTTTAGTTTTAGGGGTTCATTCAGTCTTCAAGTTTCTAAGTGTATATTCTTGAGACTCTGAAATTCCAGTCTGCATTTCCCCTCTATTGATGGAACTTCTTTTTGAAAGCCACACATTCTGTCCCTATCCCTCCACCTTCATCCACTTCCTGTATTTACCCCATCACCCCCACACGAATGGTGTCTAGCTGAGAAGTCAAGTTGTTTCTCATCTCTATGTGAAATCCTCTTTCCTTGACTCTTCAAGTGCTCAGACCTTTCTGATACTTTAGTTCCCGTAAGTTGCAGTAGTACCATCCTCAGAATGGAACAAACTTCAGGGGGATAATGACGAGGATCAGCCCATAGCTGATGCCCATGAAGTGGAGTCAGACATACTCATTTTCCAACCATTGTAACATTTCTTCCCTCTAATGGTTTTCTACTTCTTTTTGAGAAATTTATTATCATATCATCAGAAAGCCCTATCATATCATCTTGCAGTCCCCCTTTGCAAATCAATAAGTGGTCAACCAAGATCCTACCACTGGCAGCTTTGTAACTGTTATCCCATCAGAAAATACCACAAATGTACTCCTCACTTGTGACTGTTAGCTTTATAAAGCTTTGTAATTTTGAGCTCCAAGGAGGACTTTGAATGTTTCCTGGTTTTGAAAAACACCTTTTACCATTAATAAAATTGTTGGCTGTAAATCTTTATGGGAGCAGAAAACCTTGTCATTTTCCCTCAGAGTGACTGGTGGACTCGAACTGCTGATCATGCAGTTAGCAACCCAATGCATATGTAACCTACTATGCCACCAGAGCTCCTTAGGTAATACTGACGAATATGGATTTGTCAGACTTTCAGTATGCACAGGTGTTGAAGCATGTGACTTTGGTAGTCAACCGATTCTCCGAAAATGTCCCTAGACTCTTGTTTAAAATACTTTTCTGCACTTTAAAATTGTTTCAGGAAACTTATGGCCAGTCCAAATCCTGCCACTTAGAGCCATGCTGACAAAGTTGACCAGTCTCTGTGAAGATAGCCAACCAAGACCTGCAACTTTGTAAATATTATCCAATCAAACACACCCCAGATATACTTGTCAATTACAGGTTTTATCTTTATAAACTACTATAGCTCTTGGAAGCACTTTTTCAAAAGCTTTTGTTTTTTCAAGACTTTTTCTTGCGAATTGAGTGGTTTACAGAGCAGATCAATCGTTTTACATTCAACAATGATTCATTTGAAAGACTGTAATCCTTCCATTAAACATGGCTTTTCTACTTCCTCCCCGTGATTTTTGTTTCCATTCATCCTTCTTTTCCAACCATTCTGAATTTTGTTTTTATGTAAATGCTAACCCTTTGATCTGGAATGGCTGACCCCTCCATGGTGAGCACACCTGACTAGTGTTGTCCCTCCTATATACCTATCTACTACTTGGCTGGAAATTGAGTCACAAGGGTGAGTTCCTTCACTTGTGAAAGATCAATAGTAGTACCTCAGATGGCCACTCATGCACTTTTATGATCCCAGTTGCTACTCACAAAAATAGGATGTAAAACATTGCCTTTGTGGACGACGTCATGCCAATTTGTCAAAAGTTTGTGACTGTTTCTTTTTGTTTTTAAAAGTTTTGATTGTGAATTGAGTGAAAGTTTCCAGGGCAGATCATCAGTTTTACATTCAACAAATATACTTTGTTTCATTGCAATGACTTTGACTGCTTCTGTTTTACAAAATGGTCTTTTGCTATAGTTTATTTGTACTTTAAAGACTTGTAGTTTTTTTTTCACTATTAGAAATTCTGCAGCACTCCCTACCCCTCTCACTCTCTGCCCTACCACATCACTGCAGCACACAAAACACCTGTTACTTGGCAGAGGCTCAGTATATAGTGAAAGTAATCACCTTCTTCCCTGGGAGACATGAGTCCAGGTCCAGGTTTTTCTGCCTCACTCTCCCTTGCCTGCCCCATTCACTCTTCTATCCTGTCCGCCCAGATAATTTTCTCTCCTCCTTTCCTTTTTTCTATCTTTTCCTCGTCTTATTTGTCTCTTTGACCCTTTTCCTACCTCTCTAGACCTCCCTCCCTTTCCCATCATTGCCTCTGTCTCTTCCTTTCTTCTATCTTTTCATTCTGCATTATCTCTCTGGTGCTTTTGTCTATTCAGTTAAACAAATGAGTACACACTCTGAGCCAGACCCAATTCCACAAGCAGAGCTGCCTAGATGTCTAAGACAAGATCCTTGCCCTCCCTGGGATCCAGCTTTATGCAGAAACCTTAATTGGAACAGCCTCTCTCTTGGGTCTGAGGCCTGGGCTCCTTTCCTTGCTCTGGGTGATGACACCCACGCCTCTTTAGTAGTAACAGTGTCAGTACTTGACTTTCTCCCACCTCCCAGGCAGTTGCAGTGTCTCCTTTTAACCTTGTACTAAATTTTAGTTCCTTTTGGGTTTTGATCCTTGTGGATTTATGAGTAGTTCTTGAAAGTTCAACTATTATTTTAGACATTTTCCTATACAGCCTTATTGAGGTATAAGTTACAAACCACCCATTTAAATGTCAGTCTTTAGTCCATTTCCAGAGTTGAGCAACCATGAACACAAATCCATTTTACAGCATTTCTGTGTGCCTACATAGTCATACCTGCTCCAGTCCCTGGCCACTGGTAACAACTAACCGGCTTTCTGTCTCTATGAATTTGCCCGTTTTGGCCATTTCTTATAAATGGAATCACATAATAAGGAATCTGGTTTCTTTCACAGAGAATCACATATTGTAGTATGTGTCAGTAGTTTTTGTCCCTTTCTTATTGCTTAGTACTATTTAAAAATGTGGAAAATACTCAGTATAATTTGTCACTAGGAAAAAGCAAGCAATATATTACTACATATCCATTGTTGTTGTTGTTAAGTACGGTGGAGTTGGTTCCAACTCATAGTTACCCTGGCACAAGGTTTTCCGAGGCAGCAAATCTTTATGGGAGCAGAAAGCCTCATTTTTCTCCCATGCAACAGCTGGTAGTTTCAAATTGGCAACCTTGAGGTTAGCAGCCTGATTTGTAACCACTACACTACCAAAGCTCCTTACATACCCATTAGTATGGTTATAGTAGTAATAAAAAGCCCAACAATAATATGTGCTAGCAAAGTTGTGGAGAAGTAGAACACACTGCAGTGGGCCATGCCTAAGAAAGCTAAACATACACTTACCATACAGTCCAGCAACTCCACTGCTACGCATCTGTCTGCTTAAGAGCTATGGCACATGTCCATACCAAAACTTATACAGGAATGTTTACAGCAAAATTATTCATAACAGTCCCAAGCGTGAAATAATTTAAACGTCTGTTAACTGTGAATAGATAAAATACAATGGACTATTACTTATAATAAAAATAAAGTTGTGAAACATAGAAGTTCTTTGAGGACAGGGTTTTTGTTTTGTTCACTGAAGACCAGTGTCTGACACATATAGCAGGTACTCATTAAGTATTTGTGGAATGAACAAGTGAATAAACAATGTAAATCACTTTAATGGTTTGTTCTTTTTCAAAGTTTTTATTACATTTTAAAAAATCATATTTACAGTCTTGGTAAGTGCTCAAACAAATATTCAGAGTAGGAATACAAAAATAATCTATATTAATGAGTCTGCTTTTTATCATATACTGTTTATAGTCCTAATTAAGAATAAAAGATTATAGTAGTACACAAAATGTCTGAACCACAGGCTCTTAGTTTTAAAAGGAACAAGGCTGTTGTAGCCTTTGCAGCCGATTTAAAGTCTTGAATTGGGTTGGTGGCCTGACAGCAGACTGCCACAGGGTTTATACAGAGTAGCTTGCTTGAGGGTCAGCCGCCACCACATCACTGAATCATGCAGGTCCTTCACCTAAAAGGATAAACGGAGGCCTTACTTTCAGATGGAAACAAATCTCTAAACAAGATGCCTTGTTTGATCAGGATCCTTACAGTTCATTCCTTTTTCTTTTCTCTTAAGAATAAATTTTCAGCCCGTAACTTTTCTGCCTCCTAGTAAGTCATGAAAACAAAAGGAAAAAAAAAAAAAAAAAAATCAAGAGGATATTAATTTCAATCTGTAAACTATAAAAGGAAGCAAGAATCTGATGTTGATGATAATTTAACTGACTGAAGTATACTGAGATGGAGAGCAACGAAAGAAACATTTTGTTTTGTTTTTCAATTCAGGAAAGAGCCCTGAAGAGAGAACTGATTCAATCACTAAACTTAAGAGTTACCTCCACAAGTCTGACATTTTCCTTCTTCAGCCGCACTACATACTGAATCTTCTGCTGTAGGTTTTGGTGACCTACCAACTTTCCATTTTCCTCAGCAAGACATTCCAGCTGCTTCCTTAACATTTCCATTTCCTGTAGGTAAATCAACCCAAGAATGGAAAACAAGGAACAGTTTTAATTTTTCCTTTAAAATGACATTCTTTCATGCCTTCAGAGAATACAGGGAATGAGAGAGAGTCAGCCCAGATTCCGTGTTTCTGTGATCCTACATCTCTCATCTGTCAAAGGCACTCTGAACAGAGGACAACTAACTGATAGTAGGTGATTTAGGTTGATTAGGCCTCTTAATCCAATTGTTGTAAGTGCCACAAAACACCAAAACACACAAATGTACCTGGTATGCTCTTTCCCGTTCTTCATACATTTCTTCCAGCTTTGACCTCAGTTGTTCTTTTTCCTGGAATGCTTTAGACTCCAAAGTTCTAGTCCGTTCAACTTCCTCAGCCATTCTAAGGCAGCCCACCTCTTTGTTCTGAAGGGTACTCTGGACTTCTTCTAAGCTGTAAGAAGAAATAACACTTGATGGCATTTCAAGGGAACACACTAGAAAAAGAGCACTCTAACAAAATACTTTCTCTCCCAAGTCTAGAGTTTTGATCTAAAAATGTCACTAATACTCAGCCCTTTCCTGTATTCTGGCAAAAGAAGATTCAAGTGTTAGAGTTTTTTGTTGTTGTTCATTTTGGAATACTCACCCATTTTTTAAATAATAAATACAAATTCTTTTAAATTAAGCCCCCTTAAACCAGAGGCAATTTACATATTACAGCCTGCATGGTTCATTTAGTGCTACGATTTTTTTTTTTTTTAAAGTTTTATTGTGAACTGAGTGATAGTTTACATGGGAGAATATTGGTTTTATACTCAACGTTTCATTGCAATGATTACATTCCCCTCCGTGCAGTATTAGTTTCCATTACATGTTTGGTGCTTTTAGGAAGTGGGGGAGGTTTTGTACAGAAAAACACTCAGGAATAAATAATCATTTAAACAACCGAAGGGCACATTCTATCTGCATCCTGGCTGCTAGCAGATAGCCTTTCTCTTACAATGAGTCTAGAGTCTTCAGCTGCTCTCTCTCTCCACATCCTCATCATCTCTGGATAGGGTTCCACATTCTCCCTTGATGCTCCTAGGATCCTCTCCCCCCCATTTTGATACAAACTTCTACCTTTACAGTTTTGACAGCTGCAATTAGTCATGATAACAATTACTATTGAATCATAAGAATTTTAACCCCATCTCCTATCACCAGACTCGTACAGACAAGATAAGAGTTCCCACTGAATAGTTTTTATTTATTTCCCCTCATACACTCTGAAACTAAACTCACTCTTGAAAACTTGTAAGCCAGTCACTTTGTTCTATTATAGCCCTCCCTTCACCTGCTCCCATTTTAGGTAGCCAATGTGTAAGTTGCCTGTCCCTATCAACCCAGTATATAGAGGGGATATGATAGGAGCTCTGGTAGCGTAGTGGTTACGAATCGGGCTGCGAACCTTAAGGTCAACGGTTCGAAACTACCAGCTGCTCCGCGGGAGAAAGATGAGGCTTTCTACTCCTGTAAAGATTTATACCCTCGGAAACCCTGTACAGGGTCGCTATGGGTCGGAACCAACTCAATGGCACTTAACAACAAGGATGATATCTGATGTGAAGACTCATTTCTCAGTTGGTATTTTGAGCTACTACATCCATAAGTATAGGTCAAGTTCATCAAATTGTAGCAATTTACACTTGTTTCCTGTACCAAAATTCTAGTCAAGTGCTGATCATCAAACCATCGAAGCTAGGTTAAATTTGCTTCTCCCCTCACTTCCTATCAGCTCGATGCTTCACTCTTGGCTCTAGCCCTCCATGGCTTAGGAGTCCTCAGGTCTCACCCCACTTTGGACCAACCAGTCTTTCCTCTTCTCTCTCAATCTCCAGGGAAATGGTATTCTATGGAATGTGGTTGAACTCAGCTCATTACTTCATTGCTGCCTTTCCCCCTCCTTCCACTCATCAGTAGACCAAAGTGGTCACCAGCAAGCTTACATGCCTGCTCATGTGTTCCTTAGAGTTCAGTCTTGGAGGGGCATTTGTCCAGAAGGGACTTGATTGCTTGCCTTGATGGCTCCCCGGTGAATAGCTTGCTTGTTCTTTTAGTAAACAATCATACTGCCAAATTTGTTTATTATTTCTCCTGATGATCTTTCTTTTAAGATATTTCTTCTGTTCCTCTAGCTGTTTCAGACTGGTCTGCTTGTCCTTTCTAGTGGGAATGTCCCACCTCAGAAGGTTCTGGATGGGACTCAGGATTCTACCTAAAGGTCCTATACACTACAAAAGCTCCGCAAGAAGCCTATTTCATTGGGCAAGTTGTAGAACTCCTTTTTGGTGTTCTAATCAATTATAGGCTGAAGATGGGCTTACAAGCTTTTTGTAATCATGTTTCCCGACATTCCTTTCTATCTCACTCAAGTTTCTAGTTTACACTAGTAGGCAAGGGAAACCAGTATTCATAAGACAGTTGAGCATCTTAACATTATTTTCCCTCTTTTACCCATTCAGACTATGCCTCAATCCCTGTATCACAGCCCTGTTGTCCAAGGTAGAGCATACATCACTACTTACCTCCGTCCCATTTAGCCCATGCACACCTAAGTGTTCACCTGTCTACCTTGTTCTTCCATTCCACTCCCCCTTTTTGTGTATAGCCTTCCCCTACACCAAACTATGATGTGTCCCCTACCCTGTGCTCTACCATCACAATAATTGTCTTATGCAGTATTTGTCCTTCTGTGACTAATTTTACTCAGCATAATGTCCTCAAGATTCATCCATGTTATGTGGTGGCTTGTAGCTTCCTTGTTATTCTTCAAGGTAGCATAATATTCCAGTGTGTGTATGTACTAAAGTTTGTTTATCCATTCTTCCACTGATGGGCACTTAGGCTGTCTCCATCCTTTTGCTATTGATAGTGCTGCTCTGAACATTGGTGTGCATATATCTACTCATGATATGGCTCTTATTTCTTGTGGATATATACCATGTAGAAGAATTGCTGGATTATTTTGTTTTCCCACAAGCAATATAGGATGGTCCCAGTCTTTCCACATCCTTGCCAGCGTTTACTGTCCTCTGCTTTTTTGAACTTTGCTATTATTGCTGGTGTGAGACTGTATCTCACTGTTGTTTTTAGTTTCTAATTTTCAGTATGTCCCAATTATCTATTTTGTCTTCCTCTGTTTATGCAATTTTCATAATGTTTGATAGTCTGTGGGTACCCTGTATTATAGAGATCTTAAATTTGTCCCTATTTTTTCATTTATGACCTTTATAATTCTGGGACTCACATTTAGGTCTTTAATACATACCGAGTCAGTCTTTGTATATGGCATGAGATAAAGGTTTTGTTTCAGTCTTTTGCATATCCATTTCCAGCTCACTGTTGAAGAGACTATCTCCTCCCCATTGAATGTACTTTGGCTCTTTGTCAAAGATCAGTTGGCTGTATGTGGATGGGTTAATTTCTGGATTCTCAATTTTGTTCCATTGATCTATGTATCTTTCATTGTACCAGTACCAGGCTGTATTGATCACTGTAGCCATGTAGTAAATTTTGAAATCAGAGAGTGACAGGCTGCAACTTTGTTCTTTATAAGCAGTGCTTTGCTAATCCTGGGTCTCTCTCCTTTCCATATAAAGTTTGTAGTTGTTTTTTCCATCTCTTTAAAAACTGTTGTTGGAATCTGGATAGGAATTGCGTTATATGTGTAGATTGCTTTGGATAGTATTGGCATTTTCACAATGTTAAGTCTTCCTATACAGGAGTTATTCCATTTTAAAAGTCTCTTTTGGTTTCCTATAGTAGTGTTTTGTAGTTTTCTTTGTAAAGTTCCTTTGTTTCTCTGGTTAGATTTATTCCTAAATATTTCATCCTTTGGGCAGCTATTATAAATGGTATTAACTTACTAATTTCCTTTTCAACATTGTCATTATTAGTATAGAGGAATCCAGCTGATTTTTGTATGTACCCTGTCACTTTGCTAAATCTTTCAATTAGTTTTAGTAGTTTTTTGGCTAACTCTTTGGGGTTTTCTCTGTATAGGATTATATCATCTGTAATAGAGCATTTTACTGCCTCTTTGCCAATCTGGATGCCTTTAATTTCCCTATCTTGCCTTAATAACTCTGGCTAAGACTTCCAAGATAATACTGAATACGAGTGGTGATAATGGGCATCCTTCCTGTTCACTAATGGAAGACTTTCCGTTTCTCTCAATTGAAAGTGATGTTGACTGTTGGTTTTGTATATATGCTCTTGATTATGTTGAAGAATTTCCCTTCAATTTCTACTTTGTTGATTGTTATCAGGGATTTGTCAAATGTCTTTTCTTCATCAATCAATGTGATCATGTGTTCTTTGACTTGTTTTTAATATGGTCAATTAGATTGTTTTTCTAATATGGATCCCACTTGGTCATGATGTATTATTTTTTGAAGTGTTGTTGAATTCTGTTGGCTAGGATTTTGTTGAGAAACTTTTAATCTATGTTCATGAGGAATATTGGTCTATAATTTTCTTTCGTAGTGATTCCGTCCCTAATTTTAGTATGAAGGTTATGCGTGCTTCATAAAATGTATTTGCAAGTTTTCCATCCTTTTCTATATTCCAGAATAATTTCAGTAGAATTAGTGGCAGCTATTCCCTGAATGTTTGGTACAACTCACCAGTGAAGCTATCTGGACCTGGACTATTTTTGGTTGAGAGTATTTTGATAACTTGATCAATTTCTTCCTTTGTTGTAGGTCTGTTCAAGTTTTCTACTTCACTCTGTGTAAGTTTAGGTAGGTTGTGTTTCTCTAAAAATGTATCCATCTCCTCTAGATTTTCAAATTTGTTGTAGTACAACTCTTCATAGTATTGTTACTATCATTTTTATTTCAATTGGTTCTGTGGGAGGACATCACTCATGTGGTTTCTTATGTGTATTATTTGTGTCTTTTCCCTTTTTTGTTAGGTTTGCCAATGGTTTAATTTTATTAATCCTTTTGAAGAACCAGCTTCTTGTCCTGTTGTTTCTTTCTATAGTTTTTCTGTTTTCTCAAGTTTATTTCTGCTCTAATCATTATTATTTATCTTCTTTCTAGTGACTGTAGGTTTACTTTGCTGGTCTGTTTTCAGTTGTTGGAGTTGTTGTGTTAACGTGTTGATTTTGGTTCTTCTTTTTCGATGTGTGCATTTATTGCAATAAATCGTCCACTCAGCACTGATTTTGCCATGTCCCAAAGATTCTGGTATGTTGGGTTTCATTCTCATTAATTTATAGGAACTCTGTGAAGTCACGCTTTATTTGTCCTACTACTCAGTAGCTTTTAAGGAGCTCTAGTAGCATAGTAGTTACGAATTGGGCTGCTAACCTCAAGGTCAGCAGTTTGAAATTACCAGCTGTTCTACAGGAGAAAGAGGCTTTCTAATCGCCTATATGTAATGCCAATAAACAGATACACATAT